AGCTGGGGAAGCCATCTGTCCTTGCACTCCCTCCACCAGGACGGTGCCGTCTTCCTCGAGCGTGGCTCCCTCCAGGACGTCGCAAATGAAAGGGTCGTCCACCAGCACCGCGTACATTCGACCCCACTGGGCACTTGGGCCGCCAGCAGGGAGCTTGTCCAGCAAGACTTGGGAGATCCGGGCCATGGCGATGAGGTGCTGCTCGATGGGCTGGAGTTGTTGCAGCGCTTCGGGGATGGGCGGCAGGACCTGCAACAGGAACTTGGTGTTCTTCTCGCGGCAGTTCCTGCAAAGCATCTGTCCTGAGGGTCCGCTCTTCCTGCAATGTTTTGCTGGGGCGAGCGTGCTACAAGCTGCACAAAGTCTGGACAAGCCAAACCTTCCCCAGCTGCGAGTGAAGGCCAGGTACCGCTCTTGTACTTGTTCCGGACTCAAGGTCTCCTCGTCCGGGAACGGGTAGCCTCGTTGCTCCGCCTCGGTGGCGATGGGTCTTGGTCCCCGTCCGCCCAGTCCCTCCTCGGCCCGCTCGGCCTGCAGTTCTTGCCTTTGCGCACGTGTGCTTCCTGCAACCGGTAGAGGCCCGCGGCTGCCTGCTCCCTCCTCGGCCCGCTCGGCCTGCAGTTCTTGCCTTTGTGCACGTGTGCTTCCTGCAACCGGTAGAGGCCCGCGGCTGCCTGCTCCCTCCTCGGCGCGCTCGGCCTGCAGTTCTTGCCTTTGTGCACGTGTGCTTCCTGCAACCGGTAGAGGCCCGCGGCTGCCTGCTCCCTCCTCGGCGCGCTCGGCCTGCAGTTCTTGCCTTTGTGCACGTGTGCTTCCTGCAACCGGTAGAGGCCCGCGGCTGCCTGCTCCCTCCTCGGCCCGCTCGGCCTGCGAATCGCGCCTCTGGGCCCGAGCACTGTCTTCTTCTCCCGGGCGACCGCCACGGCCGGGCGTCGGGCCACGGCTGCCTGCTCCCTGTGCTGCACGTTGCTGCTGTCGAGCACTCTTCTCCTCGCTCTTCCGGCGGAGGTTCTCCTCTTTCTCGGCTTGGCGGCACTGCAGATTGCTGCACCATCCTTGTCCTCGGCCCCTTCGTGGCCAGCCGCACCGGTGACAAGGCGCCATCGTAACGAATTGCGAATTTGCGGTTCCTAAACTCAGCTAGGTTGTATCCGCACGGCTGCGATCAAGTATCACAGTATCAGGCATGTCAGTGGTCGTTTGTTCGCTCTCTGCCGGGCAAACCAATCTGCGTAATCACGACTACCTTCATACACCGAATCTTTGTCTGTAGTCTACAATCTATCTGACATGCAACGACACTGCGGCACTAGCCCCATATTTTTCGCTTGCTGCTGCTCACATTCGGAGCTGTAACGGTCTATGGCGTGTCACATAGAGAACCTGTATGTTCACGACGTCATTGCTGAAGCTGCGATCCACGAACTCATGCCTGCCTCGATGCGTAGACGACCTGCACCTCCAGGACGTCGCCGTTGAGGCTGCGGTCCAGGAGTTCATGCCAGCTCCAGACGTCTGCGATCACATCTCCGTCCAGCACGAGTTTTGTGGCTTCGAGGGGAATGGGTCCTGCAGGACTGCTGTCCAAGTCGTGCAGCAGGACTTCTCTGGCGCTGCGATACTGCAGCGTCTCTGCCGGGATTGGCTTCTTGGTCTCCTGCCGTCTGACACGTAGCTCTTGCAGGGATAGCCAGCGATCGGGGTTGTTGCCCTCGTGCAACTGAGCGAGCCAAGCTTCTCGGAAAGATCCGGGTGGTTCGAGTTGGCAGAGCGGGCGGTAAGGCTTCGAAGAATGGACTTCGGCACCTTGCAAGTTCAGGTACCGCACCGTCAAGTTGGCAAGACGCTCGTTGAACTCTTTCTGCATCTCCACTTCTCTGTCCCACTGTATTCCCTCACGTGCATCTTCTTCGGCTTCGCGCTGCATCTCTGTTTCGACCCAGTCCCAATCATCGAACCCGTCCTCACAGTCCGCCTGGTCGGCGTCGTGGATCGAGTGGTCTGTGCTCTGGAAGTCTTCGTCCATGACGTCGGACATCATTGTCGCACCAGTCGACCTGAGAAGCACGGGGCTGCGGCAAAGCTGACCGTCTGTGACGACAATGGCGAAGGCTTCCATATCTGAGGCTCGCACCGGACCACGGGCGAGTGATATCTGTTGAAGCTAGATAGCAGTTTGAGACTCAGTATGCTGTGGCGGCGGCCTTGAAGGATGTGCTGTCACAGGATGCTGCGCTGTGCACTTTCACAAGGCAACCTGCTAGCAACGATTCTGAATTCAAGAACTGCTAGACATGCATGTCCGTTTTGGCTTTCTGCCAGAAACTGTCAAGACTAACAAAGTGAATCCAGGAGCCTCCTATCCTCGGAAACTCGCTGGCTGGGTGAGACCATCCCATATTAGTGGCAGCTGCACCTCTCGACCCCCATTCAGGTTGAGGATAAGGGTGGCGGCTGCGCCCTCGACCTCCGATTCAGGGTAAGCGCCCAACCCCCATTCAGGTTGAGGATAAGCGTGGCAGCTGCATCTCCCGACGCCCATTCAGGTTGAGGAGCACCTCCCGACCCCCATTCAGGTCGAGGATAAGCGTGGCGGCTGCGCTTCCCGACCTCCGATTCAGGGCCTACCTCCGCCGTCTTCTCAGCTTCAGACCAAGCACCTGAAACCCCATCTAGGTTGAGGATAAGTGCTCCGGCTTCGTCCCCGCCTCCGCCGTCTTCTCAGTTTCAGACCAAGCACCTAAAACCCCATCTTGGTTGAGGATAAGCGCTCCGGCTTCGTCTCGGCCTCCGGCGTCTTCTCAGCTTCAGATCAAGCACCTGAAACCCCATCTTGGTTGAGGATAAGCTCTTCGGCTTCGTCCCCGCCTCCGCCTTCTTCGGGTGGAGACCACGCACCTGGGAGCCCATATTGGTTGAGGACAAGGCTTCCCGGCTTCGTCCCTGCCTCCGCCTTCTTCGGGTTGAGACCACACACCTGAGAGCCCATGTTGGTTGAGGATAATTTCTCCGGCCTCGTGGAGCCCATATTGGTTGAGGATAAGCGCTCCGGCCTCGTCCCCGCCTCGGCCGTTTTCTCAGCTTAAAACCATGCACCTGAAACCCCATCTTGGTTGAGGATAAGTGCTCCGGCCTCGTCCCGGCCTCCGCCGTCTTCTCGGCTTGAGACTACACACCTGGCACCCCATCTTGGTTGAGGATAAGTGCTCCGGCCTCGTCCTCGCCTCCGCCGTCTTCTGCTTGAGATCCCACGCCTCGGAACCCCTTATTGGTTGGGGTTACGCCCTCCCGGCCGTGTCCTTGCATCCATCTCGTTCAGCTTGAGCTCTCACGCCTTGCAACCTTATATTGGTTGAGGATAAGCCCTCCCGGCCTTGTCCTCGCCTCCGTCTTCTTCAGCCTGAGCTTCCAGATCTCGGAACCCCATATTGGTCGAGGATAAGCCCTCCCGGCCGTGTCCTTGCTTCTGTCTTCTTCAGGCAAGCCTCGCAATCCCATCGTGCTTGCAGATAATGTCACCGGACACTGACGTAAGACGATCTATGTATTCTCGCAACTCACCTTTCTTCCCGTGTTATTGCTGTGTCACGTGTGAAACAATGTCCTTCAGCTAGGTGTCCTACGGCGAATGTGTTCTCTGATCATTATCAGAGCTTCGGCCGCGCGCTCGACCACAATCTTTGTTGCTTCGAATTTCCGTCTCAGGAGTTCCTCCTGCTTCTGCTTCCGGAGCTCTGTCCTCTCCTTCTGCTTCTTCTTCTTCTCGAAAGCCCGAAGGTTCGCGATGCAGAGACGGATGGTCTTCTTGGTGTTTCTCGGAAGCCCTTGTAGATCCTGGACTGAAAAGTATTGGAGTCGCCGGCCAAAGTCGAAGTCGTCTGTGGCTCTCGAAGCCAGCATCGGGTACCTGGAGAGTGCACCGATCAGCGCTAGGTGTCCTAGCCTCAGTGCCCAATCCGAGCGTCTCGTGAACTGCGAAATGGCCAGCTTCAGGTTGTGGGGTAGACGTGTCCATTTCTTTGCTGCCGTCCGGCAAGTGCAGTTTAAGGCGCTGAAAAGTACCGGTGTATCCATCGCGTCGAGCTGTCGTGAACTACTGGTTTCTATCGCACGCCTGAGCCCCAGTTGCAGCTGTGCCACAGGCTCGCTTGCCTCCCTTTCAAAGCCACCGGTCCATGATCCGACTAGTCTGGAACATGCGTGCATAGCTGACTGTGCGATCTCTTCATCACGACGACTTGTGAAGTGTACGCCTATCCCGGCCTTGTCTTTGTGAATTTGAGGCCTCGCGCTTGGGAACATGCACCTGGGACCGCATATTCTTTGAGGATACGCCCTCCAGTCTCGTCCCGGCCTCGTTCTTCTTGAGGTTGAAGTCTCGTGCTTGGGAGCATGCACCTGGGACACCATATTGGTTGAGGACAAGCGCTCCGGCCTCGTCCCCGCCTCCGCCGTCTTCTCAGCTTAAAACCATGCACCCGACACCCCATCTTGGTTGAGGATAAGCGCTCCGGCCTCGTCCCTACCTCCGCCGTCTTCTCAGCTTCAGACCAAGCACCTGAAACCCCATCTTGGTTGAGGATAAGCGCTCCGGCCTCGTCCCCGCCTCCGCCGTCTTCTCAGCTTAAAACCACGCACCTGAGACCCCATATTGGTTGAGGACAAGTGCTCCGGCCTCGTCCCCGCCTCCGCCGTCTTCTCAGCTTCAGACCATGCACCTGACACCCCATCTTGGTTGAGGATAAGCGCTCCGGCCTCGTCCCCGCCTCCGCCGTCTTCGGCTTGAGACCACGCACCTGAGACACCATCTTGGTTGAGGATAAGCGCTCCGGCCTCGTCCCCGCCTCCGCCGTCTTCTCAGCTTCAGACCAAGAACCTGAGACCCCATATTGGTTGAGGATAAGTGCTCCGGCCTCGTCCCCGCCTCCGCCGTCTTCTCAGCTTCAGACCAAGCACCTGAAACCCCATCTTGGTTGAGGATAAGCGCTCCGGCCTCGTCCCTACCTCCGCCGTCTTCTCAGCTTCAGACCAAGCACCTGACACCCCATCTTGGTTGAGGATAAGCGCTCCGGCCTCGTCCCCGCCTTCGCCTTCTTCGGCTTGAGACCACGCACCTGAGACCCCATCTTGGTTGATGATAAGCGCTCCGGCCTCGTCCCCGCCTCCGCCGTCTTCGGCTTGAGACCACGCACCTGAGACCCCATCTTGGTTGATGATAAGCGCTCCGGCCTCGTCCCCGCCTCCGCCGTCTTCTCAGCTTCAAACCATGCACCTGACACCCCATCTTGGTTGATGATAAGCGCTCCGGCCTCCGCCGTCTTCTCAGCTTCAGACCAAGCACCTGAAACCCCATCTTGGTTGAGGATAAGCGCTCCGGCCTCGTCCCCGCCTTCGCCTTCTTCGGCTTCTGGGCTGCTGATCTCGAATCCCACAGTGGTTGAGGATAAACGTTCCAGCCTCGTTCCGGCGGCCTTCTTCGGGCTGGGACCGCGGACCCCGAGCCCCATAGCGCTCTGGCCTTGCTCCCGGAGTACCTGCGACGCCGTATTGGTTGAGGATAGGCGAATCTCTCGGCATGCGAGCCTTCGGGACTCGTCCGTGTCTCCGCCTCCAACGTTGTTCCCGCTGAGACTGAGCACCTGTATGCCCGACTGCGACATGATGGAGGAGCGCGGCCGCATGTGATGCACCAGGCCCTCCTTGCACCTTTTTGCCTCGCCTAGGTGAGTGAAGCTCGAGCCGTTCAGCGCATTGCGCAGTCTAAAACTACTCTGGTGACACTAAAACGTTCTCTCTCGCCGCGAGCCGCCGTCCACTCCACCAGATCGTTCTTGAAGAAGAAGATTGTATGAGCACGTCCCAGCCGTCGTCGAGGAGCTGGAATGCCGTCTTGGCGTCTGCTGGCAAACGCGAACAACGGTCCGGTGCAACCGGTTCCTGCCGGATGCAGCAGGCCCTCTTCCTCGCCGCCGTCCTCGTAGGTGAGGTAGAGTTCCATCGTGCCCTCATGCTGCTTGGCACTCCGTGCGCAGAGAAGCTTCATCGGTTCGTCGCGCCTCCAGACTCGGAAGTGGATTTCCGTATAGCCTGAGCGAAGGAACTCACGGGCGTCGAGGAGGGCTTGTCGAAGTAGGTTCACGTCGCTGTACTGGACGCGATCCTCTGGCAGCTCCACGTCGTCGCTGACGATGTATCGCCCTGAAGACTGCTCTGACAACATGGCGGGGTCCTGTTGGACACTGCGCAGGTCTCGGCGAGCCTTGTCGCTCTTGGGCAAGTTCTCTTGGGCAACAGCTTCGCGTGTCGACACACATAGCTCTTTGCACAACCAGGCCCCTGAGACTGCGATTGGTTGGGGATAAACCCTCTGGCCTTGGCCCGAGTCTCGTTTCCTTCGGGTTGAGACCGCGCACCTGAGACTACGCACTTCTTCAGTTTGAGCTTCCGCACCTCGGAACCCCATATTGGTTGAGGATAAGCCCTCCCGGCCTCGTCCTTACCTCTGTCTTCTTCAGCTTGTGCTTCCACACCTCGGAAGCCCCATATTGGTTGAGGATAAGCCCTTCCACACCTCGGAACCCCATATTGGTTGAGGATAAGCCCTCCCGGCCTCGTCCTTGCCTCTGTCTTCCGCGCCTCGGAAACCCATAATGGTTGAGGATAAGCCCTCCCGGCCTCGTCCTTGCCTCTGTCTTCTTCATCTTGAGCTTCCACACCTCGGGAATTCCATATTGGTTGAGGATAAGCCCTCCCGGCCTCGTCCTTGCCTCTGTCTTCTTCCGCTTGAGCTTCCACACTCCCGTGTCTTCTTCCGCTTGAGCTTCCACACTCCCGGCCTCGTTTTCCCTGAAACCCCATATTGGTTGAGGACAAGCTCTCCGGCCTCGTCCGCGCCTCCGCCGTTTTCTCAGCTTAAAACCGTGCACCTGAAACTCCATCTTGGTTGAGGATAAACGCTCCGGCCTCGTCCCCGCCTCCGCCTTCTTCGGGCTGTGAGACCACGCACCTGCGAGCCCATATTGGTTGAGGATACCCCGCCTCCCCCTTCTTCGGGCTGCCAGACCACGCACCTGGGACACCATAGTGGTTGAGGATAAGCGCTCCGGCCCGGTCCCTGCCTCCGCCTTCTTCGGGCTGTCTGAACACGCACCTAGGACCCCATATTGGTTGAGGATAAGCGCTTTGGCCTCGTCCCCGCCTCCTCCTTCTCCGGGATGAGACTTCACACCTAGGACCCCATGTTGGTTGAGGAGAAGTGCTGCGGTCTCCCCGCCTCCGTCTTCTTCGGGCTGAGATCACGCACCTCGGACCCCAGATTTGTTGAGGATAATCGCTTTGGCCTCGTCCCCGCCTCCTCCTTCTCCGGGATGAGACTTCACACCTGGGACCCCATGTTGGTTGAGGAGAAGTGCTGCGGTCTCCCCGCCGCCGTCTTCTTCGGGCTGAGATCACGCACCTCGGACCCTTTTTTTGTTGAGGATAAGCGCTCCGGCCTCGTCCCCGCCTTCGCCTTCTTCGGGTTGGGACCCCATATTGGTTGAGGATAAGCCCTCCGGCCTCGTCCCCTCCGCTTTCTTCAGGTTGAGACCACGCACCTGGGACGTTGAGGAAAAGCGTGCTGGATCGGTTGAGGATAAGCGTTCCGGCCTCTTCCCCGCCTTCGCCTTCTCCGGATTGGGACCCCGTAGTTCCCGCCTCCACTTTCTTCGGGCTGTGAGATGTCACACTTGGAACCCCATATTGGTTGAGGGTAAGCGCTCCGGCCTCGTCCCCGCCTCCAGTTTCTTCGGGCTGCGAGACGTCACACCTGGAACCCCATATTGGTTGAGGGTAAGCGCTCCGGCCTCGTCCTCGCCTCCAGTTTCTTCGGGCTGCGAGACGTCACATCACACCTGGAACCCCATATTGGTTGAGGGTAACCGCTCTGGCCTCGTCCCCGCCTCTGCTTTCTTCGGGTTGGGACCCCATCTTGGTTGAGGATAAGCGCTCCGGCCTTGTCCCCGCCTTCGCTTTCCCTGAAACCCCATATTGGTTGAGGACAAGCGCTCCGGCCTCGTCCCCGCCTCTGCCGTCTTCTCAGCTTAAAACCATGCACCTGAAACCCCATCTTGGTTGAGGATACGTCCCCGCCTCCGGCCTGAGATCCCAGACTTCGGAAACCCATATTGGTTGAGGATATCTCTGGCCTGATCCCCGCCTCCGTGTTCTTCTCAGGTTGAGACCATGCACCTGAAGCCCCATATTGGTTGAGTATACGTGGGTTGAAGATAAGCGCTCCGGCCTCGTCCCCGCCTCCGTCTTCATCTCGGGTTGAGCCCACGTGCCTGGAACCCCATATTGGTTGAGGATAAACGCCCTGGCCTCGACCCCGCCCCTGCCTTCCTCGGGTTGAGACCATGCTATATCTCCCCGTATGTGTCTACTGAATGCTGAATAACAGCTGCGTCGGATAGGAGTCGCTCGTAGTCATCGGGCATACCCCAAGAGTGCATGCGCGTGATGCAAGTGCTTCCCGTGCACCTTTTGGACTCTCAAGGGAAGAGGTTCTTATCGCCGGACCTGGCGCTCAGACGGCTGCCGTGGCCTCCTGGGCTGTGCTGTGGCAGGGACGTGCCCGCATGTTCTTCTTCGTTGTGCTGGTCCGGCCTGGAAGACATCCTCTTCCCAGAAACAAATGCTGTCCGAAAGATACCACCAGGGTATCCACGCGCCGTGCGGCACCCTTTGCCAAATGTATCCTGGTTGCACGTCAGTGTGCAGGTTCTGTTCTCTCGCTCTTGCTTGCTGGCCTGCCCACCCATTCTTCCTGAGAAGATTTCTTTTCTCTTCGACGGTGGCACAGGCCTAGCGCAACTAGCGTCAACCACCGTCGGCAGATGCTGGCTTGGTGTGCGTTGCTCGGCCCCTGACGCCCAGTTGGCTCTTGATGCTGTCCAACGGGCTCGGAGCTTCGCGCTCCGGTTTCCCGGCTCTGTCACGGCGGCGGGGCCTGCAGCGCCATCGTGTTCAGCAGAGACATCACGAGCGCTTCTTAAGGCCCCGACGGACACAACCCGAGTCGGCGTGCACAGGGAGGGCCTCGATAAAGGTAAACGGCATATCAGGACTCCTCACTCGTAGAGCGTCCGAGGCTCGGGCACAACATCGCGTTGTGTGTCTCTTCTCCCTCGTATCCGGGGTCGATGCCCAAGTATCGGGCATATTCCTTGCACTCCTGGCGTAAAAACAAAGCCGAGTAAATGAGAAGTAGTTTCCCGCGACACATCCTCAGGTGCGGGCGCAGCACCGCAGTATACCTTCCGATCTCTCGAAACAGATTGTCCCTGTCGCCATAGCTTCTCCGAGGGGGACCGCTGGCTAGGAATTGCTCAATGAACAAGAGCTGCGTTCATAAGCTGCTGGGAGCAGGTACTCCTGCATGCGTCTGGCTGCACTACATGCTCAGTGATGGTCTCTTTCTCTGATATCCTTTTGCAATTGTCCCGCTTGCGAGCGCGGATACTCCATGGCTCGCCTTCGGCGACTCCGTCTCCTTCAGTGTTCGCCTGAATGGGACTCCGTATTGAGGATAAGCCCTCCCGGCCGTGTCCTTGCCTCTGTCTTGTTTAGCTTGAGCTTCCACACCGTCTTCTTCGGCTTGAGCTTCCACACCTCGGAAACCCATATTGGTTGAGGATAAGCCCTCCCGGCCTCGTCCTTGCCTCCGTCTTCTTCCGCTTGAGCTTCCACGCCTCGGAAACCCATATTGGTTGAGGATAAGCCCTCCCGGCCTCGTCCTTGCCCCCGTCTTCTTCCGCTTGAGCTTCCACGCCTCGGAAACCCATATTGGTTGAGGATAAGCCCTCCCGGCCTGGTCCTTGCCCCCGTCTTCTTCGGCTTGAGCGTCCACGCCTCGGAAACCCATATTGGCTGAGGATAAGCCCTCCCGGCCTCCTCCTTGCCTCTGTCTTCCTCCGCTTAAGCGTCCACGCCTCGGAAACCCATATTGGTTGAGGATAAGCCCTCCCGGCCTCCTCCTTGCCTCTGTCTTCTTCCGCTTGAGCGTCCACGCCTCGGAAACCCATATTGGTTGAGGATAAGCCCTCCCGGTCGTGTCCTTGCCTCTGTCTTCTCCTGGTTGAGGATACACTCTCCCGGCCTTGTCCTTGCCTCTGTCTTCTTCAGCTTGAGCCTTCATGCCTCGGAAACCCATATTGGTTGAGGATACACTCTCCCGGCCTTGTAGTTGCCCTTCTGCAGCTTGAGGGAAACCCATATTGGTTGGGGATAAACCCTCCCGGCCTTGTTCTTGCCCTTCTTCAGCTTGAGCTTCCACGCCTCGGAAACCCATGTTGGTTGAGGATAAGTCCTCCCGGCCTTGTCCTTGCCTCTGTCTTCTTCAGCTTGAGCTTCTACGCCTCGGAAACCCATATTGGTTGAGGAGAAGCTCTCCCGGCCTTGTCCTTGCCTCCGTCTCCTTCAGCTTGAGCTTCCACGCCTCGGAAACCCATATTGGTTGATGATATTCTTCTTTTCTTCAGCTTGAGCCTTCTACGCCTCGGAAACCCATATTGGTTGAGGATACACTCTCCCGGCCTTGTCGTTGCCCTTCTGCAGCTTGAGGGAAACCCATATTGGTTGGGGATAAACCCTCCCGGCCTTGTTCTTGCCCTTCTTCAGCTTGAGCTTCCACGCCTCGGAAACCCATATTGGTTGAGGATAAGTCCTCCCGGCCTTGTCCTTGCCTCTGTCTTCTTCAGCTTGAGCTTCTACGCCTCGGAAACCCATATTGGTTGAGGAGAAGCTCTCCCGGCCTTGTCCTTGCCTCCGTCTCCTTCAGCTTGAGCTTCCACGCCTCGGAAACCCATATTGGTTGAGGATATTCTTCTTCAGCTTGAGCTTCCACGCCTCGGAAACCCATTGGTTTGAGGATAAGCCCTCCCGGCCTTGCCTCTGTCTTCTTCGACTTGTGAGCTTCCACACCTCGGAAACCCATACTGGTTGAGGATAAACCCTCCCGGCCTTGTCGTTGCGCTTCTGCAGCTTGAGACGCCACGTCTTGGAAACCCATATTGGTTGATGATAAACCCTCCCGGCCTTGTCCTTGCCCTTCTTCAGCTGGAGCTTCCACGCCTCGGAAACCCATATTGGTTGAGGATGGCTCACCCCCGGCCTTGTCCCTGCCTCTGTCTTCTTCAGCTTGAACTTCCACACCTCGGAACCCCATATTGGTTGAGGATGAGCCCTCCCGGCCTTGTCCCTGCCCCTGTCTTCTTCAGCTTGAGCTTTCACGCCTCGGAAACCCATACTGGTTGAGGATGAGCCCCCCCCCCGGCCGTGTCCCTACCTGTGTCTTCTTCAGCTTGAACTTCCGCACCTCGGAACCCCATGTTGGTTGAGGATGGGCCCTCCCAGCCTTGTCCTTGCATAGGTACTCCGGCCTCTCCTCGCCTCCGTCCTGTTCGAGTTGAGACCACGCACCTCGGACCCGATATTGGTTGAGGACAAGTGCTCCGGCCTGGTTCCCGCCTCCATCCTCTTCAAGTTGAGACCGCGCACCTGGGACCCCATATTGCTTGAGGATAGGCACTCCGGCCTGGTCTCGGCTTCTGTTCTCTCCAGACCACGAACCTGGGAACCCATGACAGTTGAGGATAGGCGATCCGGCCTTGTCGCCGCCTCTGTCTTCTTCAGGTTGAGACCACGCGCCGAGAACGTATTCTGAGAGTAAGTCCTTCGAGCTTGTTGTCGCCTCCTCTTGAAGCTCGCCTTCTTCTGGCTTCAAGCACCTGGCACTGATGCACGCTGCGGTAGGGCGCGCACCTAGGACCCCATATCGGTTGAGGATAAGTGCTCCGCCCTCGTCCCCACCTTCACCTTCTTCGGGCCGAGATCGCGTACCTGGGACTCCACGTTGGTCGAGGATAAGCGCTCCGGCCTCGTCCCCGCCTCCGCTTTCGCACCTGGGACCCCATATTGGTTGAGGATAAGCGCTCCGGCCTCGTCCCTGCCGAGCACGCACCTGGGACCCCAGCTCCGGCCTCGTCCCCGCCTCCGCCTTCTTCGGGCTGAGACCACGCGCCTGGAACCCCATATTGCGCCGGCCTGGTCCGCGAGAGCACGCACCTGGGACCCCATATTGGTTGAGGATAAGCGCTCCCGCCTCCGAGCGCGCGCCTGGAACATATTGGTTGAGGATAAGCGCTCCGGCCTCGTCGCCTTCTTCGGGCTGAGACCACGCACCTGGGACCCCATATTGGTTGAGGATGAGTGCTCCGGCCTCGTCCCTGCCTCCGCCTTCTTCGACTGAGACCACGCACCTGGAACCCCACATTGGTTGAGGATAATCAGCGCTCACCTCCTCACTTCGGTCTCTTGGGGTTGGGACCACGTACCTGGGACACCATGCAGGCGAGCCTGCACGGCTTCGTTCCCGCTCCCGGCCTTCTTCTTCTTGAGGATACGCACCTGGCACTCCACGCTGGTTGCGGTCTAAGTGAGCGGGTTGGGAGGGGAGGAGGGTGGGGAGGTCACTGCGGGTTGCGCCCATTTTAGTTGAGGATTGTTTTTTGGTGTCTGCCCACTACCCCCCGTGAGACTCGTGCCACCCCCCCGGAGGAGGCACCGGGTGGGGAGGGGGCGGGAAGGGGGGAGGGTGGGGGAGGGGGCCGGGGAGGGGTGGGAACCAACACCCCATTTCAGTTGAGGATTGTTTTTTGGTGTCTGCCCACTACCCTCCCGCCCCAGGAGGAGGGGGGAGGGAGCTCAGGGGGAGGGGGGGCGGGGGGAAGACCCCACACCCCATTTTAGTTGAGGATTGTTCTCTCGGCCTTGTCGCTGAGACCACACACCTCGGCAACCACATTGGTTGAGGCTCAAGCTTCCATACCTTGGATTGTCCTTGCCTCTGTCTTCTTCGGCTTGAGCTTCCACACCTCGGAACCCCATACCGGTTGAGGATAAGCCTTCCCGCCTTGTCTCTGCCCCTGTCTTCTTCGGCTGGAGCTTCCATACCCCGGAAACCCACATCGGTTGAGTATAAACCCTCCCGGCCTTATCCTTGCCTCTGTCTTCTTCGACTTGTGAGCTTCCACGCCTCGGAAACCCGTACTAGTTGAGGATAACCCCTCCCGGCCTTGTCGTTGCGCTTCTGCAGCTTGAGACCCCACGTCTTGGAAACCCATATTGGTTGATGATACACCCTCCCGGCCTTGTCCTTGCCCTTCTTCAGCTTGAGCTTCCACGCCTCGGAAACCCATACTGGTTGAGGATGAGCCCCCCCCCGGCCTTGTCCCTACCTGTGTCTTCTTCAGCTTGAACTTCCACACCTCGGAACCCCATGTTGGTTGAGGATGGGCCCTCCCGGCCTTGTCCTTGCCTCGGAAACTTATATTGGTTGAGGATAAGCCCTCCCGGCCTCGTTCTTACCTCTGTCTTCTTCAGCTTGAGCTTCCTGGGGCCACGCACTTCGAACCCCGGCCTTGTCCTTGCCTCCGTCGTCTTTTTGCTGGGGTCACGCACCTCGGACCTCATATTGGTTGAGGCCTCGTCCTTTCTCTTTTCTCCAAGATGAAACCATGCACCTGGGACCCTATCTTGGTTGAGGATAGGCACTCCGGCCTCTCCTCGCCTCCGTCCTGTTCGAGTTGAGACCACGCACCTCGGACCCGATATTGGTTGAGGAGAAGTGCTCCGGCCTGGTTCCCGCCTCCATCCTCTTCAAGTTGAGACCGCGCACCTGGGACCCCATATTGACTGAGGATAGGCACTCCGGCCTGGTCTCGGCTTCTGTTCTCTCCAGACCACGAACCTGGGAACCCATGACAGTTGAGGATAGGCGATCCGGCCTTGTCGCCGCCTCTGTCTTCTTCAGGCCCTCCCGGCCTCCTCCTTGCCTCTGTCTTCTTCCGCTTGAGCGTCCACGCCTCGGAAACCCATATTGGTTGAGGATAAGCCCTCCCGGTCGTGTCCTTGCCTCTGTCTTCTCCTGGTTGAGGATACCCTCTCCCGGCCTTGTCCTTGCCTCTGTCTTCTTCAGCTTGAGCCTTCATGCCTCGGAAACCCATATTGGTTGAGGATACACTCTCCCGGCCTTGTCGTTGCCCTTCTGCAGCTTGAGGGAAACCCATATTGGTTGGGGATAAACCCTCCCGGCCTTGTTCTTGCCCTTCTTCAGCTTGAGCTTCCACGCCTCGGAAACCCATATTGGTTGAGGATAAGTCCTCCCGGCCTTGTCCTTGCCTCTGTCTTCTTCAGCTTGAGCTTCTACGCCTCGGAAACCCATATTGGTTGAGGAGAAGCTCTCCCGGCCTTGTCCTTGCCTCCGTCTCCTTCAGCTTGAGCTTCCACGCCTCGGAAACCCATATTGGTTGAGGATATTCTTCTTTTCTTCAGCTTGAGCCTTCTACGCCTCGGAAACCCATATTGGTTGAGGATACACTCTCCCGGCCTTGTCGTTGCCCTTCTGCAGCTTGAGGGAAACCCATATTGGTTGGGGATAAACCCTCCCGGCCTTGTTCTTGCCCTTCTTCAGCTTGAGCTTCCACGCCTCGGAAACCCATATTGGTTGAGGATAAGTCCTCCCGGCCTTGTCCTTGCCTCTGTCTTCTTCAGCTTGAGCTTCTACGCCTCGGAAACCCATATTGGTTGAGGAGAAGCTCTCCCGGCCTTGTCCTTGCCTCCGTCTCCTTCAGCTTGAGCTTCCACGCCTCGGAAACCCATATTGGTTGAGGATATTCTTCTTCAGCTTGAGCTTCCACGCCTCGGAAACCCATTGGTTTGAGGATAAGCCCTCCCGGCCTTGCCTCTGTCTTCTTCGACTTGTGAGCTTCCACACCTCGGAAACCCATACTGGTTGAGGATAAACCCTCCCGGCCTTGTCGTTGCGCTTCTGCAGCTTGAGACGCCACGTCTTGGAAACCCATATTGGTTGATGATAAACCCTCCCGGCCTTGTCCTTGCCCTTCTTCAGCTTGAGCTTCCACGCCTCGGAAACCCATATTGGTTGAGGATGGCTCACCCCCGGCCTTGTCCCTGCCTCTGTCTTCTTCAGCTTGAACTTCCACACCTCGGAACCCCATATTGGTTGAGGATGAGCCCTCCCGGCCTTGTCCCTGCCCCTGTCTTCTTCAGCTTGAGCTTTCACGCCTCGGAAACCCATACTGGTTGAGGATGAGCCCCCCCCCCGGCCGTGTCCCTACCTGTGTCTTCTTCAGCTTGAACTTCCGCACCTCGGAACCCCATGTTGGTTGAGGATGGGCCCTCCCAGCCTTGTCCTTGCATAGGTACTCCGGCCTCTCCTCGCCTCCGTCCTGTTCGAGTTGAGACCACGCACCTCGGACCCGATATTGGTTGAGGACAAGTGCTCCGGCCTGGTTCCCGCCTCCATCCTCTTCAAGTTGAGACCGCGCACCTGGGACCCCATATTGCTTGAGGATAGGCACTCCGGCCTGGTCTCGGCTTCTGTTCTCTCCAGACCACGAACCTGGGAACCCATGACAGTTGAGGATAGGCGATCCGGCCTTGTCGCCGCCTCCGTCTTCTTCAGGTTGAGACCACGCGCCGAGAACGTATTCTGAGAGTAAGTCCTTCGAGCCTGTTGTCGCCTCCTCTTGAAGCTCGCCTTCTTCTGGCTTCAAGCACCTGGCACTGATGCACGCTGCGGTAGGGCGCGCACCTAGGACCCCATATCGGTTGAGGATAAGTGCTCCGCCCTCGTCCCCACCTTCACCTTCTTCGGGCCGAGATCGCGTACCTGGGACTCCACGTTGGTCGAGGATAAGCGCTCCGGCCTCGTCCCCGCCTCCGCTTTCGCACCTGGGACCCCTTATTGGTTGAGGATAAGCGCTCCGGCCTCGTCCCTGCCGAGCACGCACCTGGGACCCCAGCTCCGGCCTCGTCCCCGCCTCCGCCTTCTTCGGGCTGAGACCACGCGCCTGGAACCCCATATTGCGCCGGCCTGGTCCGCGAGAGCACGCACCTGGGACCCCATATTGGTTGAGGATAAGCGCTCCCGCCTCCGAGCACGCGCCTGGAACATATTGGTTGAGGATAAGCGCTCCGGCCTCGTCGCCTTCTTCGGGCTGAGACCACGCACCTGGGACCCCATATTGGTTGAGGATGAGTGCTCCGGCCTCGTCCCTGCCTCCGCCTTCTTCGACTGAGACCACGCACCTGGAACCCCACATTGGTTGAGGATCAGCGCTCACCTCCTCACTTCGGTCTCTTGGGGTTGGGACCACGTACCTGGGACACCATGCAGGCGAGCCTGCACGGCTTCGTTCCCGCTCCCGGCCTTCTTCTTCTTGAGGATACGCACCTGGCACTCTACGCTGGTTGCGGTCTAAGTGAGCGGGTTGGGAGGGGAGGAGGGTGGGGAGGTCACTGCCTTGCGGTGCGGGGTTCGGGGGAGGGAAGGGGAGGGAGGGAAGGGGGGGAGGGAGCGGGGGGACCCTCCGGAGGGGGCACCGGGTGGGGGGGAGGGGGGGGAGGGTGGGGAGGGGTGCGGGGGCCCACACCCCATTTTAGTTATTGTTTTTTGGTGTCTGCCCACTACCCCCCGTGAGACTCGTGCCAACCCCCCGGAGGAGGCACCGGGTGGGGAGGGGGAGGGAAGGGGGAGGGTGGGGGAGGGGGCCGGGGAGGGGTGGGAACCAACACCCCATTTCAGTTGAGGATTGTTTTTTGGTGTCTGCCCACTACCCTCCCGCCCCAGGAGGAGGGGGGAGGGCGCTCAGGGGGAGGGGGGGCGGGGGGAAGACCCCACACCCCATTTTAGTTGAGGATTGTTCTCTCGGCCTTGTCGCTGAGACCACACACCTCGGCAACCACATTGGTTGAGGCTCAAGCTTCCATACCTTGGATTGTCCTTGCCTCTGTCTTCTTCGGCTTGAGCTTCCACACCTCGGAACCCCATACCGGTTGAGGATAAGCCTTCCCGCCTTGTCTCTGCCTCTGTCTTCTTCGGCTGGAGCTTCCATACCCCGGAAACCCACATCGGTTGAGTATAAACCCTCCCGGCCTTATCCTTGCCTCTGTCTTCTTCGACTTGTGAGCTTCCACGCCTCGGAAACCCGTACTAGTTGAGGATAAACCCTCCCGGCCTTGTCGTTGCGCTTCTGCAGCTTGAGACCCCACGTCTTGGAAACCCATATTGGTTGATGATACACCCTCCCGGCCTTGTCCTTGCCCTTCTTCAGCTTGAGCTTCCACGCCTCGGAAACCCATACTGGTTGAGGATGAGCCCCCCCCCGGCCTTGTCCCTACCTGTGTCTTCTTCAGCTTGAACTTCCACACCTCGGAACCCCATGTTGGTTGAGGATGGGCCCTCCCGGCCTTGTCCTTGCCTCGGAAACTTATATTGGTTGAGGATAAGCCCTCCCGGCCTCGTTCTTACCTCTGTCTTCTTCAGCTTGAGCTTCCTGGGGCCACGCACTTCGAACCCCTGCCTTGTCCTTGCCTCCGTCGTCTTTTTGCTGGGGTCACGCACCTCGGACCTCATATTGGTTGAGGCCTCGTCCTTTCTCTTTTCTCCAAGATGAAACCATGCACCTGGGACCCTATCTTGGTTGAGGATAGGCACTCCGGCCTCTCCTCGCCTCCGTCCTGTTCGAGTTGAGACCACGCACCTCAGACCCGGTTTTGGTTGAGGAGAAGTGCTCCGGCCTGGTTCCCGCCTCCATCCTCTTCAAGTTGAGACCGCGCACCTGGGACCCCATATTGATTGAGGATAGGCACTCCGGCCTGGTCTCGGCTTCTGTTCTCTCCAGACCACGAACCTGGGAACCCATGACAGTTGAGGATAGGCGATCCGGCCTTGTCGCCGCCTCTGTCTTCTTCAGGTTGAGACCACGCGCCGAGAACGTATTCTGAGAGTAAGTCCTTCGAGCTTGTTGTCGCCTCCTCTTGAAGCTCGCCTTCTTCTGGCTTCAAGCACCTGGCACTGATGCACGCTGCGGTAGGGCACGCACCTAGGAGCCCATATCGGTTGAGGATAAGTGCTCCGCCCTCGTCCCCACCTTCACCTTCTTCGGGCCGAGATCGCGTACCTGGGACTCCACGTTGGTCGAGGATAAGCGCTCCGGCCTCGTCCCCGCCTCCGCTTTCGCACCTGGGACCCCTTATTGGTTGAGGATCAGCGCTCCGGCCTCGTCCCTGCCGAGCACGCACCTGGGACCCCAGCTCCGGCCTCGTCCCCGCCTCCGCCTTCTTCGGGCTGAGACCACGCGCCTGGAACCCCATATTGCGCCGGCCTGGTCCGCGAGAGCACGCACCTGGGACCCCATATTGGTTGAGGATAAGCGCTCCCGCCTCCGAGCACGCGCCTGGAACATATTGGTTGAGGAAAAGCGCTCCGGCCTCGTCGCCTTCTTCGGGCTGAGACCACGCACCTGGGACCCCATATTGGGTGAGGATAAGTGCTCCGGCCTCGTCCCTGCCTCCGCCTTCTTCGACTGAGACCACGCACCTGGGACCCCACATTGGTTGAGGATAATCAGCGCTCACCTCCTCACTTCGGTCTTCTTGGGGTTGGGACCACGTACCTGGGACACCATGCAGGCGAGCCTGCACGGCTTCGTTCCCGCTCCCGGCCTTTTTCTTCTTGACAATACGCACCTCGCACTCCACGCTGGTTGCGGTCTAAGTGAGCGGGGAGGGAAGGGAGCGGGGGAGGGAAGGGGGGGAGGGAGGGGGGGGACCCTCCGGAGGGGGCACCGGGTGGGGGGGGGGGAGGGGGGGGAGGGGTGCGGGGGAGCCCCACACCCCATTTTAGTTGAGGATTGTTTTTTGGTGTCTGCCCACTACCCCCCGTGAGACTCGGGACCAACGCCCCCTTTTAGTTGAGGATTGTCTTTTGGTGTCTGCCCACTACCCTCCCGGCCCAGTTGATTTCTGCCACTACCTTCCCTGAGAATTCGTGCCACCCTGCCAACTGTGGAAGGGGCGGAAAAGGCCGTCAATAGGGCATGGGAGGGGGAGGGAGGGGGAGGGGGAAGGTCGGCTAGCTCCTGAACTGCATACCTTCAGGTTCCTGTTTTGTTTGAGGAAAAGCTCTCCGGATAAGCCCTCTCAGCCTTGTCGCTGAGACCACACACCTCGGCAACCCACATTGGTTGAGGCTCAAGCTTCCATACCCTGGATTGTCCTTGCCTCTGTCTTCTTCGGCTTGAGCTCCCACACCTCGGAACCCCATACCGGTTGAGGATAAGCCTTCCCGCCTTGTCCCTGCCTCTGTCTTCTTCGGCTGGAGCTTCCACACCCCGGAAACCCACATCGGTTGAGGATAAGCTCTCCCGGCCTTGCCGTTGCCTCTGTCTTCTTCGACTTGTGAGCTTCCGCACCTCGGAAACCCACATCGGTTGAGGATAAGCTCTCCCGGCCTTGCCGTTGCCTCTGTCTTCTTCGACTTGTGAGCTTCCGCACCTCGGAAACCCATACTGGTTGAGTATAAACCCTCCCGGCCTTGTCCTTGCCTCTGTCTTCTTCGACTTGTGAGCTTCCACACCTCGGAAACCCATACTAGTTGAGGATAAACCCTCCCGGCCTTGTCATTGCGCTTCTGCAGCTTGAGACCCCACGTCTTGGAAACCCATATTGGTTGATGATAAACCCTCCCGGCCTTGTCCTTGCCCTTCTTCATCTTGAGCTTCCACGCCTCGGAAACTTATATTGGTTGAGGATAAGCCCTCCCGGCCTCGTTCTTGCCTCTGTCTTCTTCAGCTTGAGCTTCCTGGGGCCACGCACTTCGAACCCCGGCCTTGTCCTTGCCTCCGTCGTCTTTTTGCTGGGGTCACGCACCTCGGACCTCATATTGGTTGAGGCCTCGTCCTTTCTCTTTTCTCCAAAATGAAACCATGCACCTGGGACCCTATCTTGGTTGAGGATAGGCACTCCGGCCTCTCCTCGCCTCCGTCCTGTTCGAGTTGAGACCACGCACCTCAGACCCGGTTTTGGTTGAGGAGAAGTGCTCCGGCCTGGTTCCCGCCTCCATCCTCTTCAAGTTGAGACCGCGCACCTGGGACCCCATATTGATTGAGGATAGTCACTCCGGCCTGGTCTCGGCTTCTGTTCTCTCCAGACCACGAACCTGGGAACCCATGACAGTTGAGGATAGGCGATCCGGCCTTGTCGCCGCCTCTGTCTTCTTCAGGTTGAGACCACGCGCCGAGAACGTGTTCTGAGAGTAAGTCCTTCGAGCTTGTTGTCGCCTCCTCTTGAAGCTCGCCTTCTTCTGGCTTCAAGCACCTGGCACTGATGCACGCTGCGGTAGGGCACGCACCTAGGAGCCCATATCGGTTGAGGATAAGTGCTCCGCTCTCGTCCCCACCTTCACCTTCTTCGGGCCGAGATCGCGTACATGGGACTCCACGTTGGTCGAGGATAAGCGCTCCGGCCTCGTCCCCGCCTCCGCTTTCGCACCTGGGACCCCTTATTGGTTGAAGATAAGCGCTCCGGCCTCGTCCCTGCCGAGCACGCACCTGGGACCCCAGCTCCGGCCTCGTCCCCGCCTCCGCCTTCTTCGGGCTGAGACCACGCGCCTGGAACCCCATATTGCGCCGGCCTGGTCCGCGAGAGCACGCACCTGGGACCCCATATTGGTTGAGGATAAGCGCTCCCGCCTCCGAGCACGCGCCTGGAACATATTGGTTGAGGAAAAGCGCTCCGGGCTCGTCGCCTTCTTCGGGCTGAGACCACGCACCTGGGACCCCATATTGGGTGAGGATAAGTGCTCCGGCCTCGTCCCTGCCTCCGCCTTCTTCGACTGAGACCACGCACCTGGGACCCCACATTGGTTGAGGATAATCAGCGCTCACCTCCTCACTTCGGTCTTCTTGGGGTTGAGACCACGTACCTGGGACACCATGCAGGCGAGCCTGCACGGCTTCGTTCCCGCTCCCGGCCTTCTTCTTCTTGAGGATACGCACCTGGCACTCCACGCTGTTGCGGTCTAAGTGAGCGGGTTGGGAGGGGAGGGGGGTGGGAAGGGGGTGGGAGGGGCAGAGCGGATGGAGGGAAGGGGGGGACCTCCGGAGGGGGCACCGGGTGGGGGGGGGGAGGGAGGGGGGGGAGGGTGGGGAGGGGTGCGGGGGGAACCCCACACCCCATTTTAGTTGAGGATTGTTTTTTGGTGTCTGCCCACTACCCCCCGTGAGACTCGTGCCACCCTCCGGAGG